CAAGAGGAGAATGGAGGAGAAGGGATTGCGGCGTGACCATCCCCCCTGGGGGGTGATTTCTCGCTTTCTGTCTCTATGTCTCTCTCTGTCTGTCTGGCAAACGCACGCGCCCTACAGTGAAAATCTCTCAAAAAAAAAAAACACTGGGTTGGGGTCAGCAGGTGGCGTGATGGTTAAGGGCACTAGACTCCCTCATGGCTGACCGTGGTTCAGGTCCTGGCCCTGGTAGTTTGTTTTCTCATTTTTCTCTCTCTGTCTCTCTCTCTCTCTTTCTCCCTCTCTCACTCTGTCTATCTCTGAACAAATTAAACTAAGTAAATAAAATCATTCTTTTTTTTTTTTGGAGAGGTTTTCACTATAGGGTGCGTGCGCTCACCAGAAAGACAGAGACAAGAGAGACAAAAGGCAAGAAGTCACCCCCCAGGGGGATGGCCACACCGCAATCCCTTCTCCTTTCTCTTCTTGGGAATCTTGAGCACGCACACGCACATGCCTGGCTGAGTTTTAAGCCACCTGGTCCAGGACGCGAACCGCAGTTGACTACATGGGAATCCAGCGACATAGTCATTCCACTAACTTCTGATCCCAATAAAATAATTCTTTTAAAAAAAGAAAAACACGGGGCTGGCAAGTGGCTTGGTGGTTAAGGGTGCCAGACTCCCCCACATGGCTGACCATGGTTCGAGTCCCGGACCTCGTGGCTTGTTTTCTCACTTCCTCTCTGTCCCTCTCTGGTCAAATTAAAATAAATAAATAAATAAAGTTAAATAAAATAATTCTTAAAAAAAGAAAGAAAAACACAGTGACCAGCAGATGGTGTGGTGGTTAAGTCGCTGGACACTTCCACATAGCCACCATGGTTCAAGTTCCAGGCCTGGTGGCTTACTTTCTCACTTTCCCACTCTCTCTTTCTGTGTCTCCGTGGTCAAATTAAAATGAATGAATGAATGAATGAATAAATAAAATTAAAGAATTATTTTTTTAAAAAAGAAACACACACTGGGCATATGTGCATGTGTGCCCAAAAATCCCAAAGGAAGGAGAGAGGGAAGAGAGGGTATTGTGGTATGACCATGCTCCATGGGGTGCGCACTTGCTTCCCTGCTTCATCTCTCTGAATGTTAGGGGCTTGAAAAACATGCCAGGAACATGTGTGTACATTCCCAAAACCCTAAAAGGAGGGAGGAATGAAAGAGAAGGGATTGTAGGGGCCAGCGGGTATCATGGTGGTTAAGAGTGCTGGACTCTCACATGGCCGACCGCAGTTTGAGAACTGGGCCTGGCAACTTGCTTTCTCATTTTCTCTCCTCTCTCTCTCATTCTGTCCCTCTCTGGTCAAATTAAAATGAATAAATAAATAAATAAATGTGATTCTTAAAAAAAAAAAAAGAGAGAGAGAAAGAGAAGGGATTGCTGCATAGTCATCTCCCATGAGAGATGCTTCTCTCTCCCTCTCCCTCTCTCACTGGCAATCACATGCGACTTCTAGCCAAACAAAAAATAACTCTCTAACCAACAATTCTGGAATTTTATATAAAGTTGATGTTATCATTCTATAAATGACTAAATTTGTGAAGGTACTGGGACTAGCAGATGACATAGCGGTTATGTCGCTGGACTCCCACATGGCCGACTGCAGATCAAGCCCCAGACCCAGTGGCTTGAAAATAATGCCAATCGCCATGTGCATGAGTGTCCAGGGTCCCAGAAGGGATTATGGTGTGGCCATCTCCCCTGGGGGTGATTTCTCACTTTCCCTTGTACCATCTCTGTGTCTGTGTCTGTCTGTCTGTCTGTCTCTCTCTCTCGTGAGCACACGCATAAAACTAAAACCTCTAAAAAGAAAAGAAAAAAAATTTGAGAAGGTATTAAAAGGTAAAGATATTATTCACTTACTTGAACATAATTGATAAAGTCTTCCTTGAAAAGAGCTCTGCGCTGTATTTTGTACTCTAGATCAGAAGCCTTCTTAATGATAGCCCTGAGGAGAAAGCCATTTAGAATACGACACTCAAAAAGGACGACCATTAATAACCTAGGAGTTTCCTCTTTGACTTGTTTTGTTCTGTTTTTTTCTATTTTATTAAGTTTAATGACTTACTTCTCCCATAAGACAGAGATGGGAGGCCATGGGACACAGGGTCTTCATGTCCCGATCCACACCAGCCAGCCAGGACCTAGTACACAGGCACTGGTTCATGCATAGAGTGTACAGACATCTCAAGACCCAATCCAGGACCTTCTCAATGGCCTCAGCACCACAGAGCACTGAGTTACCTCTGCTACCCAACACTGGGCTTTTTTAAAGTTTCTTTATTTTGAATGTATTTATAACACATATTTACCAAAGCATTCAATTCCTGAACACTATTATCGTTCAGAAGCAAGTATTCTCCTACAGGATTATTTCTGTGTTCTTAAGGGCATCAGGATGTATTTTAAAACTTTTTTTTTTTGGAGAGGTTTTCACTATAGGGTGCGTGTGCTCGCCAGAAAGACAGAGAGACAGAGAGACAGAAAGCGAGAAATCCCCCCCCAGGGGGGATGGCCACACCACAATCCCTTCTCCTCCATTCTCCTCTTGGGATCTTGGACACGCACGCACACGCACCCAGCGTGAGTTCAAGCCGCCGGGTCCAGGACTCAAACCACAGTCGACTATGTGGGAGTCCAGTGACACAGCCATTACGCTAACTGCTGGCCCCATGGATGTATTTCAAAACTTTTAGGAAGGACTAGCAGGTGGGATAGTGGTTAAGGTGCTGGACTCCCACATGGCTGACGGTGGTTCAAGTCCTGGACCCAGCGGCTTGAAATTCACTCCCAGCATGTGTGAGTGCATGCCTGCCTAATATCCGAGAGGAGAATGGAGAAAGAATTGTGGCATGGCCATCTCCCCAGGGGGGGTCATTTCGCACTATACCTCTCTGTCTCTCTCTGTGTATCTGGTGAGCACATGTACCCTTTAGCAAAAATTTCTTTAAAAAAAAAAAAAGAACTTCTAAGGAAATCATTTATTTTTTTCTTTTGGAGAGATTTTCGCTATAGGGCGCGTGCGTGCGCTCACCAGACAGAAAGAGACATAGAGACAGAAAGTGAGAAATCACCCCCCAGGGGGGATGGTCATGCCACCACAATCCCTTCTCCTCTCGGGATCTTGGGCATGCACGCACATGCGCCCGGCGTGAGTTTTAAGCCACCAGGTCCGGGACACAAACCGCGGTCAACTACGTGGGAGTCCAGTGACATAGCCATTACACTAACTGCTGGTTCCCTAAGGAAATCATTTTAATCAATAGTTAGGACATTGGCATGTCCACCAATGAAACAAATAATGTCAAGTACTTTACCTAATTTACACATGTATAATAAAGATGGTTTTTCTTCCATCTTCAGGTGGCTTCAGTTTTTTTGTTTGTTTGGTTTTTGGGGGTTTAAGAATTATTTTAGGGGACAGCAGGTGGAATGGTGGTTAAGGGTGCTGGGCTCCCACATGGCTGACCACGGTTCGAGTCTCGGACCTGACGGCTTGCTTTCTCACTTTCCCTCTTTCTCGCTCTCGCTCTTTCTCTCACTCTGTCCCTCTATGCTCAAAACAAAATAAAGTTAAATAAAAATTTTTAAATGAAACTTAAGAAAAAAATAATTTAATTGTATTGTCTTTTTTTTTTTTAAGTTGACCAGAGACAAAGATAGAGAAGGAAAGTGAAAAGGCAAGCTGCCAGGTCCAGGACTTGGACCTTAGTCAGTCATGTGGGAGTCCAGCGCCTTGGACTACCACACCACCTGCCTGCTCCCAGTTTACTTTGGCTTTAATAATGATCAAGTCTCTTTCCTAAATTCCTCTTATTTCTAAGTTAACAACATGTGCCATTTTTAAAAAATCTAAGTCATGTCCATCTAACAAGGTTTATTACTACAAAGGACTTAGGAGAGAACATCCATCATCCTTAACTAAGCGGTGAACACACAACATGTGTATATCAGAATCTAATACAGCATGTGCAAGACAACTGTCTTCAGAGTGGTAACAATAACATTTACTGACCACTTTCTAACAGCCTATACTTCTGTATTCTCTGTTTAATTAACAAACGTATACCTCCAGGCTCCCAACATCACATTACTACATTAAGTCATTGTAAAATGACCAAATAGTCACAGAAAATCCTCTAAAAAAGCTACGGAATGGAATTAATTTTAACAAAGTACTGAATGCCAACTATAAGCCAGGCGCTGTGGCGAGGCTCTGCAGCAGTGTTGGAAACATTGACATGGTCCAGATCTTCAAGTCTAGCTAGGAAGACTGATTCACTCCTCCTCGGCTCCCACGGCAGTCTGTTCGCATCTCTGGAGCAGTACGCTGCAATAAAAAGGCTAGATCTCTGTCCTCCCCACCTCCATATGCCCTGGTAGCTCCTGATGGGCAAGGAGCCTGGTGTTAGCACTTTCAGAGCTCCAAGACCTGGCTCAATGAAGGGCTGTCAGTGTGTCTGGTGGGTTAAATGGACGGACAGACCACCTTGCAATGGATGGGAAAGTATTTCTGGGCATCACCAAAACCCAGCAATGAGCTTCGGCAGAACTAGGAAAAACAAGCACAACTCCAAGAGTCCTCACCCCGGCCTCCGCCACACACGCCCAACCTCCCCAGCCCGCTCTCACTTAATCTCCGCATGACTGAATAGCCCAACGCGCTCCAGCTGTTCCAACTCGGGGAGTCGATCTTCTATGCGTTCCTGAATTATCTCCGCCATGCGGTCCGACTTCTACAACGCCACAAGAAAAACCCTAAAAGCCACCACGCGCAGGAAGCACCCTCCTTCCAGCCCGGAGATCCAGCCTTAAGCGCTCGCACGTGTTGACGTCATGTGCCGCCTAGGTCCCGCCTCTTCCGCTTCCGCTGCCTCCGCCATTGGGAAGGCCTTCTGGCTTTGGCGGCCGCTGTCTCCTCCCTGTGGCTGGGGGGGGGGGGTGG